CCTCTTTTGAGTGATTAGCAACTGGACGTAGGGTCTTTTGATCCGAACCAGTATAAACCTACTGTGTAATCTTCTCTACTCTTCTCTATTTACATTTACGCAGTTTTTAATCGGTAAAATTTGGGGAAAATTTTGAAAACCTAATTCTTATTAAGAAACCAATTCACCCCCCCCTCTTGGTTTTTGTCCGACCACGCGAACATTCCGCTGCGCGATTCTAACAAGGTGAAGGGGGGGCAGCTGTAGACCCCTAATTTTGCCCGGCCTCTCAAAATAAAAGCTAGAGGAACTTCGCCCGAAGATGGAGTTCATCCGGCTTCCCAAAACCGAGGAAACATCCCGCAACAAACACAGAGATTGCTCGTCTGCACGATAAAGGACAAAGGAGACTTCCTATACAGAGATAAAGCTCGCCCGGCATCTTAATGAAGGCCAAGAAGACTTCCTACACGAAGATAAAGCTTCAACGGACACACATCGACATCAAACGACGTCCGAAAAAAGGAAAGGAAAGCTTCTCGGGAGTCCCGGAGCGCGAAGACAGGCCAAAGCAGTTTGGGACAGCCGTTCCAAATTGGGACGGCCGTCCCAAACACACCTGGCCGTCCCAAACGTCAAAACACAAGTGGGACGCCCGTCTCACCTTTGGGACGCATGTCCCAAGTCCCAAATTTTGAATGGGACGGCCGTCCCAAATGCACCAGGCCGTCCCAAACTGTCCCAATGTAAAATGTGCAGTTGGGACGGTCGTCCCAACCCAGACGGCCGTCCCAAACTTCCAGGGCGAAAAATGCTATAAATAGGAGCCTCATTTGTCTCATTCCACACACCAGACAACTCAGAGACTTGTCTTCTTCTCTCCCTCTCTCGAATGATCTTTCTGATTGCCTTTTCTAGGTAACAATCAGTTAAGGAATTTGTATTCCGGCATTCGATTCTTCTAGAAAATTTAGTCGAGTCGAGTCTGTAATCGAGAGGAGAGAACAATTGTAGAGCGAAGGACTGCCGAAACGCGTCCTCTTTGTACAAGAATCATAATACAAAGCTTGCTACGGAGGTTTTTCTCAATTCTCTTCTTCTTTACTGCTTTATTTATTGTTTTCTGTATGCAATGTAGATACATCATGTAGATAATCATATCTAAATAACTGTACGAATAAAATAAGGGTAAATGCGTAATTTCTCATAATCTTCACTTAATGAATAAATCCGTCATAGGGAACCCGAAAGGGGCGTTGTGGGGTGCTAACACCTTCCCCACACGTAACTAACTCCCTTACCCAACTCTGGTTATAATGGCCAAGTTGGTTTTTAATAAAATCAACGCCTTTTTTCCTTTTCCAATGTTTCTGGTCAAAACATTGGTGGCGACTCCAAAAGAACCCCTTTTCGAAAACCTTGCTTCTATTAGAGGATAGTTCGATGTTGAGCACCTCGAAGCAATGAACACAATTTTAACAAAAACGCGAGTCTCAACCATCTTTTCGCGACCGCTCGCATAAACGTTCGAGACGTCCCCGGGACGTCGGAACGGACGGCGGCGACACTCGCCTCATATGAGGATCTTGTACATCAGAAAGTTTGTGTGATCCAGATCCATTTTCGGTCTCTGCTATTTTTGATATGATTATTAAACTTAGTAGCTGTGCTTGACAACAATCATGAGTTTTTCTTTGATTGAGGAGTGAAAGCGAGAGTGTGTAAAATCATAGAATAAAGATGTGACTTTTTTTTTCATAAATAATATTATTTTTAAAAATATTTCTCAAATTATCATATTTGAAATATTATTTCCTTAACTATTTTTCTTTATTATTTACATATTAAAATAATCGATTATTTTAGATTATGATCAATTATTTCGTACAAGATTAATTTTTGTTCAAGCGAGAAATTCATCGTTTGAGTGAGGAGACCTGTAAGAAATGGATAATTTCACGTCAATTCTCGTTCAATCGATGAATATTTTAACTTGAGCGAGAAGTGATTGAAATATGTGGTGACCCAAATTGCGTTATGTGGCTAACTGCGTTGGACGTTTAACCTGTGGTCAATTCTCGCTCAAGCGATGAGTTACTTCACTCGAGCGAGAATTGATTAGGTAACTACCTTGGATCGTGGTCAATTCTCGCTCAAGCAAGACATTCATCGTTTGAGCGAAGAAATTTATAATCGATTATAATTTGAATTAATCAATCATAATTTTAAAATAATTGAATATACAAAATTATGATCGATTATTTCTCTCGCTTAAGCGAAGAGACCTATACACAAATAGGTAATCTTAGGTCAATTTTTGTTCAAGCGACGGTACTTTTGCTTGAGCGAGAAGTGATTGAAATATGTGGTGACCCAAGTTACATTATGTGGATAACTGCGTTTGACATTTAACTTGTGGTCAATTCTCGCTCAAGAGATGAATTACTTCGCTCGAGTAAGAATTAATTGGGTAACTGTATTGGACCGTGGTCAATCTCGTTCAAGCGAGACATCTATCGTTTGAGCAAAAAAATTTATAATCAATTATAATTTGAACTAATCGATCATAATTTTAAAATAATCGAATATACAAAATTATGATCGATTATTTCACTATCGCTCAAGTGAAGAAACCTTTTGCGTAAGCGAGGAGACCTGTAAAAATAGTAAATTAAAGATTTATTTTTTACTTTTATAAGAATATATAAGTAATATTAAAATTATATATATTTTTTAAATTATAATGTAATTGTTTTTTTATAAGATTTGAATTATTAAACACATCCATTTTTAATTTAATAAATTTGTATTAAATGAGAATAGTGTGGATAAAATCCAGAAGAGTAAAATTGTGAATTATATATATTATTTAAATTATTTTTTTAAAATAAGAAAATAATTTTAAGTTTTGAATTATATTTTAATTTTTAATATAATTAATATTTATTATATTATTAATGTAATATTATATAGTTAGAAATGTTTTTTTTTATTTTAAAATTTTTAACAACTATCACAAGAATTAAAATTAAAATAATATTTCAATAATTAAAAGGTTTTGGAGGTTGGTTATCGTAGTTTTTTCTTGTATGCCTTCCGTCTCTTTTCGCAACAAAAGGCTTATCACAATTTTTACTGGCAAAAGGTTTTCCTCCATTGTAGTAAATATAAAGCATAGCCAATTATAAAAAAGCATAATTAATTATTTAAGGTGTGATAATTGATTATATTAGATAAATAAGAAATTGATGGTTATAATACAAAACTTATGGAGGTGAATTTTTACGAATGAGACAAAAGATTATTTTAAAAGTAGGATAAATATTATTTATATTTTTACACTTCAATTTTTTTTTCTCTTTCTTTATAATTTAAAAAGTGTTTCTGATTAGACGGATCTCACTAAACTTTTCTTTTAAATCAGTTTTAAGAAGGTGAAAGAAATATTCATTTTCTTTTTAAATTCAGGCTGTGGGTCCATACACACATCAATTTTTAGGAAATTTTTGGCTTAACAATCCCTTTTCTATAAACCCCCGTTAAATAAACAATTAAATTAATATAATATTAATATTTATAGTTGAAGGTGGGTTATTTGAGATAAACCACGTGAGAAGCATTGACGTTGGATTTTGTAAAGTAGAGGTGAAGTCAAGTCAACTGAGAAACGAAGAGTCTGGAACTTGCTACTTATTCAGACTTATGGCATTTTTAATAACATCAACTTATGAGTTGTTTGTTATTTTAAAAATGTAAAAGAAATTATATGATGCCACTTTTTTATAAATAATTTACTATTGATTTTATTTTATTAGAATTTTGTTAATAAATTTTTAAAAATTTATTTTCTTTCCTATTTTCTCTCCTCATTTATTTTAATTTATTTTTTTTAAATTACTTGATAAATAATCATAAAAAAAATTTAAACATTTATGATATCTGATAAAATTGGTCTCCCGTTTCAATTACATACTCGTAATTATTGCTTCAACTGCTATATCAATATCTATCACGTTTTTTTTTTTCATTTTTCAAAGAAATTTGTTGTTACTTATCTTTCAATGCTTCATAATTCAAGCATGAAATAATTGAATTCACATTTTCATGTTTCCATGTCGCAGTTTTTCTGCCTTAATTAGTAATTGTTTCACATTCCTTAAACAAAAGATACCATAAAAATTGTAGTACAACATAAAACGACAAAAGAAAAAAGTGAACGGTAGAGGAACGTTTTCAGTGAGTGGTGATTTGTTAATGCTTTTGACTTAACTGGGGTTGTAAACTAAGCTAAACATTAAATTTCAGCGAAGCTTCAACCAAGGTTCAAGGGCTTGTGCTTGTGGGTTCTTTCTTTAACTCTGTATCATCAACTTGTTCATTCCTTAGGTTTCTGTTTGAGAAGAACCTCAACCAAACACAGCCTTACACTGTTCACTTATCAGTTCATAGCGTGTGGTGCGAAATGCGATTGCTCTAACTCTAGTTTAACCTCTTTCCTTCACGCGATTAATTACTATGCCACCTGGTAAAATCTCTCTCTCTCTCTCTCTCTCTCTCTCTCTCTCTCCATACTTTTGATTACTAGTTGCTTCCTTCGGCTTTTTCAATTTTAATATGGATTAGAGGCGCTTAATCGAATCGTATTGTGTTTGGATTCACGACGATATTGAAATTCATCAAAAACGCATTGCGTGCTTTATTTGTCTTTTGTTTGTGTGAATTTTGACTTTGTTTGATTATCGTCTGTGTCGGTGTATGTTTGGGTTAGTTTCGGTTAGGCTTTTGCTTCTTTTTGGTGGAAAATTATGGTCGACGCAGTACTGTATAGCATACTTTTGAGACGACAGAACTTTGACCAGTACTTCCAGCTCACATGGGCAAATAATTATTTGCCATAATACGGATATAGAAAAGAGGATCTTAGTTCATGGTCTGCATGATTCCCATGTCCGTACAAATGAAGAGATAATGGACTAGGGAACAGTACGAGTTCTGAATTGGTGGACTAATTTGACATTGCCATGGCAGGCTTGGAGTACAACATCGATGAACTGTTCCAAGAAGCTAAGAAGCGATGGCTCAAGCCTGTGGAGGTGCTTTACATTTTAAGGAATCACGACCGGTGCGAGCTCACTCACCAGCCTCCTCATCAGCCAACTGGTAACATCCGTGTTCTGTTTGCTGAAATTTATGCAAGAAATGAAGGACAGTTTTTATGACTCTTGCTTGTCACTTGATTTTGTGTTACTGACTGTACCAATGGACTTTCTTAACAGGCGGATCCCTGCTTCTGTTTAATAGAAGAGTCACGCGTTTCTTCCGTAAAGATGGTCATAACTGGCGGAAGAAAAAAGATGGAAGAACTGTGGGAGAAGCACATGAACGGCTTAAGGTCTGTCTAACTACCTATGGTGTTATGATCATTAAAATGACCTAAAAAACATCATTAAAATTTTGCACATAAGGGTGAGGCTTGGTGTACCTGCAAGATTTTACAACCTTGGTTCACAAGCTCAAATCCTAGAAATACCCTCTCCTCATGCGAGGATAAGACTATGCATGTCTACCCTCCCTAAACCTCACTAAGTGCGAGCCTTGTGTACTGGGCTGTCCTCCTTTTGTGAGACATTTATTTGTCTTGCTGCAGCTCATGTCAGCCATCTGCCCACTTTTGACATGCTTTATGCTTTATGCAAATGCTCCAAGTTGCAGTCTAATCTGGACCAAACTCCTTCCTTCCTTTTAATCTTAAATACGAACTATGCAGAAAATAATAGAAGATGAAACATTTAATAACAGCATGAAGTTTTCATACCAATTGTAACTTGATCTTCTTCCACTTCATCACTTTTCCCTTTATTTATTCGAGGAAATTGAATAGTAGAATTTTAACATTGTAGAAGAAGAAATATTCAAATCTCACACATGTTTAACAAAGTATTATTTGAAAATAAAAATCTTCATTGGAAATTTCATTTTCAAATCTATCTCTTAATCTGCTCTGTAGCATAGATAGCTTCCAAAAGGCTTTTAGGAAAAAAAAAAAAAAACAGTATGTATTTAGTTTGCCTAGCACTCTTTATGTGCATGGGCTGTAACATATCATTTAGATGTAACTTATTTATTGTTTAATAGTTTTACTGGTATTGATCATTTTTCTCAATTAAATATAATTCTCTTAATTTTGCTATATTGATGCCTTCATGCAACATTTGTTTTGTGATAGAATTCTATGTAGTCAGTTTCTCCATCTTATCGATCATACTAATCTTCGTGATTAGGTTGGAAATGTAGAAATCCTAAACTGTTACTATGCACATGGAGAAGAGAAGCGTACTTTTCAGAGACGGAGCTATTGGATGTTGAAGCCGTGAGTAAATTTAATCTATTGATGCAAACCATATTATGATTACCACTACTTAAAGTATCTTTAAGAACTAAATACAAACCAAAGCTCATACTAGAAGCAACTTTAATTACCACGAACAATTTATCTTGACTGAAATAAATTAACCTTCAGAACATGTAAATATTATTAAAATGGGTCCGTTTATATGCCAGTATGTTATTGTTGTGCATGTTCATATTTTCTCATACACTCTTGTTTCTTGACAGGGAATATGAGCATATTGTTCTTGTTCATTATAGAGAAATAAGTGAGGTGAGTTTCCAAGACATGATGTCAGATAAAAATACTGTAGTACTTGTAGCTTATTATAGTGTGAAAAGTGTGAATCCTTTCAGTGCAACACACTCACTGTCCTACCCTGTTTCTGAAAACTAATGTTATTTTAAACACATCCTCCCTTTTCAGTGTTCATGTAGAGTGAAACTGGCGGTTAGCTAGGTCTAAATTATTAAGATAGAAAACAGAAAGGGAAAAGAAACAGAAAAATCAATTCATTCTCATTCTTGTCTACACCCTGGGTACATACCCTCAAATAACCTAATAACATGGATTGGACCATGTGTACAGTCCATTTAGGGAAAGAAACAAGGCAATTTAAACAAAAAAACCATTCAGTCATTACAATCCATATTCGTTGGCCCAATAGGGTTTCATGATGACATGCTTAGGCCTGATTGAGTTGTGAGCTGGTTCCCAATCAGTTCAGGTTTGAAACTTCAATAAAATATTTAGCTTATTTGTTTTTCTTATGAAATTTCAACCCTCTGTTGCGTTTCGAATGAATACTTCATTTTTGTACTCTTTTAATTCTTTACTTTCTGTAAATGACTTACATGATAGTCCTTGAGCTGTTTATAATTATTCCGTAAGTTCAATTCTCTGTCTGTGTCCTTGTCCCTGTCTGTGTCCCTCTCTCTCTCTCTCTCTCTCTCTCTCATTTTCCAGTTTTAAAACTCTACAATAAATAAACATGTGTATTTCTAGAGAAAATTATGTTCATTTATTAATTCTTACATTGTAACTCCAAATAGGTCATCAAAGAGCTAAAAATGTGATGAATTAGACATGTTGAGATTTGTTGTTTATGTATCTTTTAATATTCTTTTTTAATATTCCTTAGATTATTAGGGTTAAGGATTTGGGCTTAGACCCATATCCTCTCTATTGTACCCATTTTTCTATAAATACAATGTATCAGTATTTTTGGTCACTGAATCAAACCCTAAATAAGTTTTCTCAAGTTGGTATCAGAGTAGGTAAAATCCCGCATTGATTTCCAGTCACCTTTGTCAGTTCCGGCCGTCGTTCGTCGTTGTCACCGCTGGCCACTGATCGCCGTTGTCATTGCCGGCCACTGTCTTCGTTTGGACCGGCGAAGGAGGGGTTTTGCTTGTCTCGAAGAGCGCAACCCACCCTTACAAGTCGTTCCTCCGTCAGCTGCTCCACGCGTCGTCACGCGCGATCATCTCGGTGAGCCCTCTTAGGCATGTGTGTCCCACGTGTCGCCTTGCAGTGGCCGGATCAAGGTCGACCACCTCCGTTCGACTCGCTGGCGTCCTCTGAGTCCAGTGATGCCCTTAGTTTTCTGGTTTGAGAACTGTGTGTGAAATGTCCTGTGGGTAACCCTATTCATTGGCTTTATTCATCATTTCTGGTTCAGATGGCCTCATCCTCTGCCTTCACCTTCTCTACTACTCCCACCATAACTAGTGCCCTTCAACTGAAAAAATTACTTATCCTGGTCTGATTCAGTTGAACTATGGTTTCTCGGTCAAGGGCATCATGACCATTTGGAGAAGGATGCGGACTCTATTTCCGCTACAGAAAGGTCTCAGTAGGAGAAAATAGACTTCCAACTTTGTGCAATCTTATTGCAGTCTGTGGAATCGGATGTTCTTGAGCTTCTCAGATCATTCAATACCTGTTCTTCTTTTTGGAAAAAGACTCAAGACATTTTTGCTAATGATATTCAACGTCTCTTTGATGCAACTCAAAGAGTGACGTCACTTAAGCAGACCAATCACGACATGATGGCTCACATCACAAAAATTAGGAAGAATTAAAAAGGTTTCTTATTGCAAATACCTTAGAGGAGATAAACACCAAACTCGATAAGCTATATATGGTTCTAATTTTGAGAAGTCTGCATTTTGACTTTGATCACGTGCGTGATCAAATCCTAGCTGACATCTGCTAGGTTGTCCCTCGGGGTCGAGGGGGAGGACGCAACAATTGAGGTGGATGTGGTAGTTCGAAAGTTCGTCCTCAATGCACCTATTATAAGAGGATGAGATACGCAGGAAAATTGTTATTCCTTGCATGGCTTTCCTGATAAGATTGTCCATGCATCTAAATCGGAGAAGCCAAATATAAAGATTTCTGATGAGGAGTATCAGGAGTTTTTGAAGTTCAGATATGGAAATTTTAACAGTCTGGGTCAATCCTCTTCAATGCCAAGTGTTTCAACTGCATGTATTTCTCAATCTGTGGAAGGTCAGAACCCATGGATTCTTGATTCAGGTGCCTCTGATCATATATCTGGTAATAGTTCATCGTTTTTCTTCATGTCCTATCCTAAAATTCCTCACTTAATCACTGTAGCTAATGGATCCAAAGTGAAATCTCAAGGTGTTCGCCAAGTTCCTTTAACCCCATCTCTAAATTTAAATTTTGTTCTTTTCATTCCTAATTGTTCTTATAACTTGGTCTCTCTAAGTTCTTTGAATTGTTTTGTAACATTGACTTCTAATTCTTTTGTTATTCAGGAACATGGTATGGGTCGTCTGATTGGAGAAAGACATGAATCACATGGTCTGTATTATCTAAAACCAAGTCCTTTGGTGTCTTGTCTAGTTTCTCCTGCCCCTAAACTTTTGCATGATCGTCTGGGTCACCCAAGTTTATCTAAGTTGAAAGTGATGACTCCTAATCTTCAACATCTTCGGGGTTTAGAGTGTGAATCTTGTCAATTAGGAAAACATGTTAGGTCTATTTTTCCTAAATAGTCTGAAATTCGATGTAATTTTCCTTTTTTAAATATTCATTATGATATTTGGGGATTAAGTCCTGTTTCCTCTTTTGGCTTTCGGTATTTTGTGACCTTTGTTAGAATTATTATTAGTTAGTGGTTAGTGGTTAGTAGTTAGTAGTTGGTAGTTGTTGTTTTAAATGTTGTAATCCTATATATATATGAGATCATAGAGTGGAGTAAGCATCCCACAAAATTAGAAATCTTCTTTTCATTCTCTTTACTCTCTTAACTTGGTATCATAGCAGGTTGGTCCTGCTCTGCCTGTCCGGCCACCATCCGGCCACCGTCCGACCATTTTCGGTCACCGTCCGGCCATTTTCCGGTCACTGTCCGGCCATTTTCTGGTCACCGTCCGACCATTTTCCGGTCACCGTCCGATCATTTTTCGATCACCGTCCGGTCATTTTCCGATCACCGTCCGGCCACTTTTCGGTCACTTTTCGGCAACCGTCAGTCCCCCGTCCAGTCACCTTTTTTTTTTTTTTGCTGCCGTTTGACGACTTTCCAACCACCTTCCAGTAACCTTTCGGCTATCTTGGGTGTTCTCTTTCTTACAGGTTCCATTGTCTCCATCTTACATCTACATTATTTAAAACATGTCGTCAGGGCCCACAACCTCCTTTTCCGGAACTCCCACGATAACGACTGAAAAATTAAATGGAAAAAATTACATGTCTTGGTCCTCTTCAGTGGAACTTTGGTTCCTTGGACAAGGGTTTCACGATCATCTAGAAGAAGACGGAAGTAAGATACCAGAAGATCAGGCTCAACAATGGAAAAAGCTTGATTATCAACTCGTGCTCTACTCGTGGCAATCGGTAGAACCAAATATTTTGAACACTCTCAGATCCTTCAAAACATGTAACTCTTTTCGGAAAAAGCTCGGAATATCTTCGCAAATGATATCCAACGCCTCTATGATTCTGCTAATCGATTAGCCTCTCTCAAGCAAGTGGATAAAGATATGATGGCCTTTATTGCTCGAAGCTCAATCGCT